AACATTTTGATGAAGAACAACGAGAAAAAGTACTTGAAATTAAAAATAAAGTAAAAAAAAGATCATTATTTCAAAAGAGAAGATAGCAAAGAACAGGAATAAAATAAAGGCTGGTGAAGAATATTTATATCGAAGAATATTATCTCCAGAGAATTGCTTGAAAATTAAAAAAAAAAAAAGCTCGTAACATTGGTTTATTTCATGTCTGCAAAATTTTAAAAGTATCTTTTAAAAACACGCACTGAATCTTTTGATGAAAATAATAAACGTACTTTCAATAAAAGCTGATTGACAATTAACTGCATCTCTTATAATAGAGAAACTCATCCGCCTCTTTATAAAGATTGACTGAATTCTACGGCTTATCAACTGTTTGCAGGTTATTTAATGCCAGAATATATATTTGGATTGTAAGAATCTTTTGGAGATAATAATGATTTACTCATAGAAGTGATACTAATTAACCCATAGCTGGAGGATCGAATAGGTGGATTCATATCTTTCCCAAGTGTAATTGCATATAACGAAACCGACTGGGATTGGAAATCGGATTTTCGATTTCCTGTTTGGAGTCGTTAGTTATCAATTAAACCACCCACACACTCAATACAGTATCTGATATTCCCAATGGCCACCCATTTGGCCACTGATTAGTCTCGACCGTTGATCGTAGAGGAACCGGTATTTTCAACGTGATATGGCCGTAAGCCAGCATAAAGACATCTTCGAATATGCTTATTCATTTCTCTGGTTAGCGACATTGTATAAGGGTAATAACCATATTAGTCGTTTTCTTATATGGGAATATTCGGCCTTTATTGACCGAACAGCAAGTGCTATCGTCGGTTAAAATTTACAAATTCTTTCTCTTAACCCTTTGAGTCATGCGTTCCTGATCAATTTTAATTCTTCTGCCTAAGCTTCTGAGTCAAAATCCGCAAATAATTGGTATGGAACGTTTCCAGGTAGATATAGAAAATAGTTACAAGTGTTTACCCACCGTTCAACCGGTAGCTGGGCATTAAGTCATTTTTCTCTACCACCGTTAAAACAGTGGTCAGGTTTCAAAGGGTTAAAACAACTTTTCAGAAAATAGAATTATCAAGTCTAGGATCGGTTCTAGCTCTTTATATCCAATTTTTAGGATGAATTCAGGATAGATAACATCATTGTTTTCGTTCTAATGACACATCATAGTTTCTGTTTTGGAAAGGTTTACTTGAGATAATTTAGTTGTTCTTGTTATGAAAAGTGTTCATGTCTTGTCGTTTTTGTTATTTTGATGTAATAGGTGTAACTTAAGAGTATAAAACAAGTTTGCCTTCATTAATTACAAGTATTACGTTCGAGTTACGCAACTGTCAGTAGGTCAGTAGCACGGACCATCTTCTATAGAGATTGACAAAATATTTTATAAGTTTATATATGAACTCGTGTGACCATTAAACAAGCGATCTACAGAATGGAAAGGTAACTTTTTTATTTAGATTAAAACAAAGCAAAAACTTGTTGCAGATAATAATCTGTGAAAACGGTGATAATCGATAAATTCGCAGTTTTTGTCCCGCCTCTGTACATTACATGTTGGGCTCCATCAAACATCTAGTCATTTCTGAAACTGAAACCGGTGTTGAACAAGCATCTTCTCCCATTCTATGGTAGAGTTGAAACTGCGGTGAAGAGTTGAGTGAAGATAAACCAGAATTTTTCTTATTGGACTTTGCCAATTGGATAGAACGCTTGGAAAGGAAAAGATATTGGATGTTATGGAATTGTGTTTGGTTTCCCTTAATGAAGATAAAGTTTCTCTCGTTAGTTTTCCGCTTCCGTTTTCTTTGTAATTGTTGTGGATTCCGAGATGAAATCCGGTACCAATAAATAACAAACACCAAGAATGAATATAGGAAAATAATGTATTAACGCAATAAGACAAACTGGTAATGCAGGTTAGTAGTTCCAGGAATACGGGTTAGTAGCAAAATATCTATACAGTCTTTGGTATTGAAGTATTGATGTATGACTTACTGAGTCTACGTGATCGCTCACTGTGACTCTTGATCGCTACGTTCGTTCTGTCTGTCTGTTACCTACAACCTTTTACTCTTCCTCGCTTCCTTCCGATCTTCACGTAGCAGTAGTATATGTATATACTGAGTGAGTCCATTTGTGTAAAAAGGGGAGGACTCCTCAACAGTAATCATCCCTTGATATTATCTCCTGAAATTCTAATACCGTTGCAATATATGACTGTCATAATTAACCTTTCGTCAATTTGCGTTATACAATCTCTCAGTTGCCTCAATAATAGTGATGGCGGTTATTTACTTTTGTGCATAACATTCTTTTTCACATTTTCCAAATTATATATATATATATATATATATATATATATATATATATATAAGATACATCATTTGCTAACAATTAGATGATTCACAGCAAATAAAGAAGCACAATTACATTTTATAAATGTGACTTACATTTATTTTGTAAGTAGCAGCCATACCCAACTGGTCAATCAAAAAAAGCGTTCAACTAGAATGATGTAAAAACAGTATCATCTTTAGATGTAACAGAGTCTATCTTCAATTACTTTAAAGTACCTCCATTAAAAAAATAGTTTGAATTAATGCAGTTACTGATATAAAAGAAGTAGTCCGTATTTATTCAATTGAATTTAGCCGAGGACATGAAGGGATAAAGCAGGCAACATGAAGACCCACTTCAGACGTAAATTATTTTGAAGATTTTCTAATTCAGTTCGTCAATGTGCTACCAGTGATGTACAAGAGGATGAATTTATAAAACAATTGTTAAGTTTGATGAGATTTGATTGAAAGATCAACGAAAAATAAGAAAGAAACCAGTAAAAATCGCCATTTGGGTGGACTAAGTTATCAAGTTAAATGACTGTTAAACAATCAACTTATTTTTGACTACAATTGAGTGAAATTTGTATTAGATTGCATGAAAATTGAGGGAATGTTAGTTTAGAATTTGTGTTAAAATCAATTTTTCGTTTTTCGCTAAACGCAGTGGCGTAGAAATAAAAATAAGGTATTGGTGAGCTCGCCAGGTTATAAGTAACCTAGATACCGTGTTTGAACGAATGTTGAATTTATCGATATTTGATCGGCTTTATCGATTATTGATTTTTTTTTAATTATCGATGTTCTACGCTCAGAGCCTATCTCTTACATTGTACAATGTATATGCCAAGTTTGGTCAAAATCGGTTGGATCGATCTCGAGTGAAAAGATATCACATAGTCAGACAGACAAACATACACACAGGCATCCTCTGTTTTATATAGAGAGGTTACACTCAGGACACCATATATTAAAACATAATTCTGCAAATATGACTAATATTTTTTCTTTCTTTCCACAGATAAATACTTTTTGCTTTGGGCCTTGTTCTTTTTTCATTGTAGTCATTTATGAAGCAACTGGGAAGCAACTAAAAATGAAAATATAACTCTTACTATTATTGGGAGTCCTGACGTTAACTGAAATGTTATGCCACTAATATTAAATGGCAAAGAACGCGTTTTATGTACTTATCTATATTTCTATCTAGTTATTTCTCTTTCAGCCCTTCTCTCTGTTAAATCAAACATTGTCTTTCAGATTATTGTCTAATTCATGCTTTATCAACATATAAAATAAATACGTAAACAAATTTAAAGAAACCTGCAAAGGTTTTGCAAGCCGTAGAAAAACGAATGACTCAACCAATTTAAATGTTTATTTGCTCCGACGCCTGTCTGCATAGAACGAAACAAAGTCCGTTCTGTGCAGATTTAAACAAACAGCAGACATTTGTATAAAATACTCTGACTCCCGAAGTGCGAACTTATTAACCATATTTGGGTTTGAAGATTCAAAATGGATCATTACGCAGTTTTGGCATATATCGATACTTAACAAGGTCAGAGTTCGCTTCAGGTAAGTTTACGCTGGAAATTGCGAAAGTGGCTCTTTGTTACCATGGAATAATGAGGAGATTCTTCGGCGACTATGATGTATGTTTGATAACGGCAAGTTGATGCATTTATTACGCCAACCTCTCTCTTATAGAGGTTCCGAAAATTAAAATTTATCAAACTATGGAATATTTAGTCCTTTTAGTAGTGAATAATTATAGAAAAGCATAGGGTGTCCGGTCAAGTGACAAAATATCTTATACTGGTTACTGAGTAGCCTTTCAAAAGAAAAATAGAATAAAATGAGGAATAGAATGCACAAAGTCAAATCTTTTCACGAAAAATGTCAAGCTAACTCAGACGGATTAAACAAACGCTAGGATGTTGCAGAAACTGGCTTCATAGGTTGAGCTGGGAGAAATAGTGAAGTCGCGGACGCATGCTGAGTTCTAGATGGCTTTACGATAACTGTCGATTATACATTAATATTTGAAGGCACATATAGAGCTATGATTCAAGCAGAATTGAAATGCGTGCAGAAACACTATTGTTTATTATGCATAACAACGATCTAACATATTGAGCAAAGAAAATTAATGAATATCTAAATAAACTGTTTTTTAAAAACTCACCCTTGAGTAATTTGTTTTCTAATTCGCCTCACTTTCATCCGATTGTAAACTTATGGCTCTTTTCGAGGAAGCAATTTGTTAATGGCGAACGCTAACTTTCCATGAAATTGGAATTTTACTGGGTTTTGTGTGAAGAAATAAAACACTCAAAATCTATAAATGAAACACCCATTTCACAATCATGAATCTTTATAATTTTGTCTTTATTACAATGACACGTCTTTTATATTTGGTTCAAAACATTTGTCTCCGCAGGTTTTGTAATTATGAGTTTTATTTACAATATCATGTTTCTTGGCATTTAATTAATCTGGCTGATAATGCAAAACTGAATACAAAAAAATTGTTGCCTACTTAACAGAGAGAAATAAAATATATTTAGGTAAAATTCCTTTTGTTGGTTTTCCAGATACTAGGAAAATATTAAATGGCAAAGACGTGAT